AAACATGGGATTTGTGTCTGGCCCTGTCACCTATCTGGAACAGATTAGCCCCAATCGACCAGCCCCGAGTGTGATTACGGGCATGCCAGTTCCCGTGATGACGACACCCCCACCTCCAATCGAAAGTCCCGCACGACCGAATGAATCTACCGCCTTATTGGAACTAACCGAAACACTGATTAATCTGATTCAGGAAAGCAAAAAGGAGCAGCGGGAACACAATGCTCAAATAGAGGCGATGATGAGGTCGATGCAACCGATAGCAGTATGTGCCGCCCCGATTCAACACGGGCTGGCTCCAGCGCCCGCTCTTGGGGGGGTCGCTGGTAATTTGAACGTCTGTTACACATGTTACCAACTTGGACATATAGCCCGGGACTACCCTCATCGCCCCCTCAACCACGAATCGGAGCTTCATCGGTAGTAACAGCCCCGATCGCTAACGGACCTGGACGAGTAGGAGCGTTAATGGAAGAAATGGAAGGAGGAGGAAGCTCGTTAGCCACGACGGAAGAAGTTGCGGAGCTCATTCCATTGGATTAGTACGTAACAGTTGGATATCCGGGATCGGAACGATCAGACCCGCACTCGAACAGAGGGAAGTGGCAGAATGGAGACCGTCTTCAGGAGAAATGGAGTCGGGAGGACCCACCTTCGTCACCGGGGAAATCGACGTTTTGAACATTATACGGGCGTTAGATCACCGAATCCCTCTCCTAATCGGTCATCTATTGTCGATATCGGAACAAGTTAATGAACGCATGCTGCAACACTGCAAGGCGAATCGAAAGCGATTCGCCCTTGCTTGAACAACAAATACGAAAGGAAAGAGTCAAGCACAAGACGAACCCGTCACTAAAACATCAGACCCGATACGCTTGGGATTGATCCAGAAAGATGATCACTTCCTGCGGATTAAAGTGATTCCGGGGAAATCCGTAGAATGTGACATCGAAGTATGGGAAGTCCCGTACAATGTCATTATCGACTCCGGGGCAGTTCTTTTAGCTATCTCGTTACGAGTGGTCGAAAGAGCAGGAAGAAAAAAAGATCTGATTATACTTACGGAGAAGGATCAACTCGTCTCAGCGGATGAGGAAAAGATCAAAACAGTGGGACGAATGACCAATGTTGCGTTTCGATTGGGTAAGGTGCACCCTCGCGGAGATGTCGTAGTGTTGGACGTCAGCACTTATGATGTTCTTTTGGGTTTAACTGCTATTATGGCTCTGCGAGCCAACTTGGACTTTGAAAGACGGTCGATTATCCTCCGAAATACGGGAGGAAAACCTTACGCCATGCCTATGAGACTGACTCTCCGTACTACCGTTAACACAGCCCCACAGGTTTCTCAGGTAATGGCGGGAACTCTCCGTGTAATCACCTGGGAAAACTACGCGAACGATGAGCAATCATCAAAAGATGCGGACGATAGTGACGAGGATGATGCGGCAATTCTGGAACTGGCGCGACAGCGCATCAGTTACCCGGCGCAACGAGCAAACACAAAACCTTTGAATCTGACGAATCGAAACCTGCAGAGGACACAAGCAATGATTCTGGGAGAACCTCTCGTACAGATATCAAGGATGGTCGATTCTTTGGAACCCCCTCGAACCCTGTACGAAGGTATCTCCCCTCTCCTTGTGCGATACAACGACACGAAACATTTTTGCGACATCACGAGCCTCCCGCGATCACTTTTGTCACCTGCGAAAGAGATACGATTGCTACGCTTAGGGGCGGAGGCCAATTCCTTGGAACCCCTTGAGCGCCTCGAAACCGCACTTGGGATCAAGATCGCAACGAAACTCGTGCCATGGCAGGATATTCGCGACGGAGTGACCTCTTCCGCACCCCCGACTGAAACCACTAAGCGGGAAAGTACGAAACAGATCGATGTACGGATACGGGGTCAATCGTATGAGTTGCACTTGCCCCACTACGTACCTGATGAGATCCATCACCTAATCGCGGACATTCTAAAAGAATATTAGGAAGCGATTAGCGTGATTGACACGGATATTGGACTATCGGTAGTCATACAACACGAAATCCAAACCGGAAACCATCCTCCTATCCACTGTAAACCCTACAGGTATTCCCTGGTGGAATGGAAAACAGCCCTTCAGCGGATTCGAGAGTTCGAAGTTAATGGTTGGATCGAACCCGCTACTTGGCCATGGTCATTCCCGGTAGTGTTAGTACCAAAGAAGAATGAATCGATTCGCATTCGCATGGATTATCACAAGCTAAACGATATCACGATCAAAGATGTATATCCCCTTCCCCGGATTAATGATTTGCTGGATGCGATTGGATGTGCTGTCACGACTTCCATCATATTCTGATTAAGGAGGAAGACCGACCGAAAACGGCCTTCGTATTATTTGAGGGCACGTGGCAGTGGGTCCGGTGTCCGACGCGGATTTGCAACGCGCCTGCCACGTTTCAACGGGCTATGAATATGACGTTTCATAACTTCGTCAACAAAACGCGGCTGACTCAAGGAATGATCAACTTCTGCGTCATCGTGTACAAGGACGACATCCTAGTCTACTCGGAAACCTATCATGGACACGCATAGCATATCGAACGGACGCTGGGAGCTCTGAGAGACGCTGGGTTCAAGATCGCGCTCGAAAAGAGCGAGTTTTTCCTATCAGAGATCTCATTCTTGGGCTACGTGGTGACGCGGGGAGGACTGCGGCCAGATTCACGAAAGGTCGCGGCGGTGAAAAATGCCCTCGTTCCCACATCACTGACGCAGGTTCGAGGCTTTTTGGGACTGACGTTGTACTATCGTCGTTTCATCAAGGGTTTCGCCATGATAGCAAGGCCCCTGGCGAACTTGCTGCAGAAGGACCAGCCTCTTAGTCGGGATGCCGAGTGCGAGCAGGCCTTCGCCACCCTAAAGAACACCCTGGCCACAACACCTATTTTGATCCGGCCGGATCCTACGAAGCAGTTAATTCTCATTACGGACTAGCAACCAGAGGCAATTTCCTCCATTCTAGTGCAAAAGGGGAACGATGGTCGTGAACACGTCATCGAATACGCATCACGCACGGTGCCAGACGAGCGGAGAAATGATTCGGCCCCACAAGGCGAGTGTTACGTCGTGGTCTGGGGGATCCAACACTTCCATCCGTATCTTTACGGACAAAAGTTTCTTCTTGTGACTGACCACAAGCCACTGTTGGCCCTCAAAAGGCTCACTAATTATACGGGCGTGATTGGGCGTTGGGCGGTGCGCCTACAGGTTTACGATTTCGACATCGTCCATCGAAAGACAGAGAGGCACGAGAACGCCGACGGGTTGACACGTCTGGATCGACCCGCTAAGGTACTTAAAGGCAAGGAGATCATTCCGTGGAAGGAGCCGGAATCGCCAAATGGGCCCAAGTACGGACAAGTGGCAGTCCTTCCACGTGGCAAGAAGCAGACAAGTGGCAATGGGGGACGGAGGTAATCCTACAACACCCCTCTCTCCCCTCTCACCTTCATCTCTTCTCTCTCTTCCCGACAAATTTTGCTATTTTTGCGAAGCGATTTCACGCGTTTATTCCATCCCTATGCATCCTACTAGGGAAGGATATGTCGAGTGGGTAGATTGTCGGCAGTGTGTCGCGTGAGCCCATGGCTCCTGCATTCAGTATCGAAATGGCAACAAATCTTGGTTGTATCCCTTGTGTCGAGACGATAAGATCCCGACCGAGGCCCGATTCCTCGACGCCACGTCAGAAGGATTAGAAAAGACCCAAAAATTTAGAAGGGTCGAGGTATGGACGGATATTGCTCTAATTGCCACCTTGGTAGGTAACCCCCTCCAGGACTTCACTAAGGAGGACCGGAGGAGGGCCAATGAAAGGGCTCGGGACTATCGCTGGAACGAGGGTCGGTTAGAGAAACGAAAGACGGATGGAAGTGGGATTTGGATGATAGTGCCACACCCGTTCATGAGGTACAACTGGGTGACGGAGCATGAGGAAACTGCAGCCCATTTTGCCGCCCGAATCACGGAAGCGGCGATCGGCAAAAACGAGTGGTATTGGTCCAACATTCGCGACGATGTGAAATTCATCGTCCAAAACTGTCAGGTCTGAGCTGCTGACAAGACGCCGATTCAGCCGCCATGGTCAATAGTGCCAACGATAGTTGAACAACCGTTTTAGAGGGTTAGCCTGGATACTACTGATATCGTGGTGCCCCCTGGACCTAATAGTTGTGAGTATTCAATCCTACTGGTATTTGTAGACCACTTCTCAAAATGGATCGAGGCATATCCGTGTCGTACGCGATAGGCGGCTGAAATCGCGCAAAACCATTTTCTAGGAATGCACCAGGACACAAAGGAGATTCTGACCGATAATGGGGTAGAATTCAGAGGAGAAGTTTTGAGGAACCTGGTCATACACGGCGTCGCCATACGGAATACTGCACCCCACATGTCACAGTCTAACGGGCTGGTAGAGAACGCAAATAGGGTGATTAAGACTGCACTATGACGAAATATCGCGGCACGGGATCCAAGGCCCTGGCCCGATATCGTAGATCACATCCTGGCGGTCCATCGAGGAACGCCCCACGAATCGACGGGCCTAAGCCCCTTTCAATTACGGACCAATAGTGTGGCTTGTGCTTCAATACCGAGCCTCCCAGATGAATCTTTGTTGAACCGACGACCCACGAGGGCCACGGTTCGGGACAAAGCCAAGTGACACATGGAACTGATGGAGCGGTCCTTGCCCCGATTAGCTCGAAAGCGCCAGCGGATGACCGAATTGGCCCAAGGCCGACAGGTCCGTAGCTACGAGGCCCGAAATGGGGATGCACGTCCGCGGCCCCAGTACAAACTGGGGGACATGGTGCAGGTGAGGAAATGTGCTCGCCAAGGGAAGATAGCGCCACGATTCTTCGGGCGATTTCGTGTGATCGAGCTCGGCCCGAACGGGGTGAATACCGTGCTGCTATCGCCGGAGGTCTCGAGAAGCCGATCGGCTCGACCGATCATCCGCCACGTGTCCTATCTACGTCCTCTCCCATCCTCTCCATCTCCGCCTTCACCTGCCTCCTCATACGACACCGAGGAAGACGACGACGATCTAGTTTCCCCCTCCCCGTCCCTCTCTCCCTCTGGCACTCCGCCTCCATCGCCATGAGCTTTTCAACGGAGCAGGTGATTAGCGCGCGGCTGCTAGCCCCGAGAGGGCGGATCAGTACAATCCGGCAAGTACAGCGGCCACGCCTCAGTGCCGATCTCCTTCGATTTGCGGCCTTCTTCAGCACGACGACAATCCACGCAGCAGCGGAATTCCGGATTAAGCAAGCGGCAGCGACACGTGTCCTGACCGAGATTTCAGCCTTTCAACGCCTGTCCCCTCCTGGGATCAGTCACATCACCGTCATCGTCGTTTTCGTTGGGAATCTCGCTCTGATTACGAGCGAGTTGCTGGTGTTCCTAACACAACTAGTGGACGGCCTGCCTCTGGACATCTTATCGTGGTGTGACAATCAGCCTGGCACCCACGTGCTTTCCAGGACGCTCAAGCCGCACCTGCTGCGGTCCACGTGTACTGAGCTGGACGACGACAACTGTGTCTATCCGTCCCAAGCTCTCTTCCTCGAGATCGATGTCACCGATCTCACAGTGTGGAAACCCATCGTCCGGCGAGGAAACGCGCGGCAAGGAGAAGAGGAGGAGGAGGACGACGACGACGACGACGACGACGACGACGAAGAAGAAGAAGAAGAAGAAGAAGAAGAAGAAGAAGAAGAAGAAGAAGAAGAAGAAGAAGAATCGAGCGAAGATCGTGACAATGCGGATTACGTCCAAGGAGAAGAGGAGGAAGACGAAGAAGGTGAGCCGGCAGAAGAGGAAGGTATAGCGGGTGAGTCGAGTCAGCGGCTCGGTCGAAGTAGGAAGAGGAGGAGGCAGAAGCACAAAACCGGTTGATCCAGAGCCCCCAAAGGAAGAAGAAGGAGGCGATGGAGCCGCAGCGGAGGGATCAGGAAGATGTCGCCGAAGGAGGAGCGAATCGCCGACTTCGTCTGGTTCCCCTGCCCAACCTGCCCTTCGCCTACGTCAAGATGAGGGCGATGGAGCTTCGTCCCCGGTCGTTCTCTCGCCGTCCCCTTGACTTCCTGATGCTCACCCGACTCACTGGTAGACCCCCGTTCCCCGCTGGATGGCGCCCCTTCCCTCCCGACCTCTTCTATCACCTCTACGCCACCCGCCTCCTAGTCACCGTCTTTCCCCACGCTACCACTCACTCTGTAGTAGACTCTTTCCTTCTCCATGTTCTCTTGGTTAGTGCAGACTGGCGGGAATATAACCATATAGAAATATATTGTATTATATCAGGAACGATCCCCGCCTGCAAAAATTATGAGAATTTTTGCACCGCTCTTCGCCGCACCCTCTCCACTCTCTACCCCGACTATATTGCTTCCCTCCCCCGCCATCGGGAAGGACCTCGTTTCCCCTGTATCCATCGCTCCATCTATTACACCTCCCTTCCCGCTTTCGAGTCTCCGGCCATCAATCGATTTATGTCTCCTCTCCCCCAGAATCCTCCATCGCCTCCCCCGTTGGTGATCAGATTGCCCTTCCTAGGGAACTTGTAGGATGGAACGCTTCTCGCCCCTGCTTCCGACAAACCCACCCCCTCCCCATACCCCCATGTAGCGCCCCCCCTTCCTGGTGGTCACTGATGCGCAGGTGCATAGCACGTGTCACGGCGATGACACGCACGATCCCCTCCTTCGATTGAAGAGAGCCCTTCCTGAGGAATTTGTAGGATAGAGCCACGTATGCCACACTGGATGATTTCCACACTCTTATCACACGGTAAGTGGCAACGAAGAGAGCTCTGCGTGTCGATCGATTAGAAAGATCGACACGTGTCGCAATGTCAAGCAAGCAGGAGCTTGCTTAAAATTGGAACCCCCTGGGCGTCACATATATGACGAACCAATTTCTGTTCCTCGCGATCTTATGCGCGATGACAATGAGGGGTCCTAAGATGGGAAGGTTGGGCCAATTATGGGAGATCAGGATCAAAAGGAAAATTGCATCGGTGTCCTCGCTTCTTCGTCTTTTTACGTCGTCTCTTTTCGGATGGTTGGGTTCAGGGCGGGGCAAGTCGAGGGATGGTCTATTGAGTGGCTTGCGCGCCGACAGAGGCGCGATTAATAATGTTTGACATCGCTTCTTTCTTGTTTTGGTGTCGGGTCCTTGACGCGGTGATCGTGCGGGAAGTTTTGCTTCTTTTTTAATTTCTTTTGCGAATCTTGTCGAGCCCTCGATGGCTCTCGGAATTGCGGACTTTCATTTCGTGATTTGTGCTTTAATGAAGTTCTTTTTGCATTCTTACGTAGATAGGAATTTATAAATTTAGGAATTCAGAATTTTTTTTTGTTGCGCGGTGCTTTCTGCTCACGCGCTTCTTTTTATGGCTGCGACGGAGCTCTGATTAGTCGGCGTCCTTAATCTTGCGTGTAACTGTAATTTTGGGCAGGGTGCCCTTGTAACTGTATCTTTCTTCTTGAAGCTTCGTCTTTCCCGCCCTCTCTCTTCTTTGCTGTGTCCGCGGGCTGCATGATCGGATCGATGCGTGGAGAGTGGCCACGTCCCCCACTCTGTGATCTGGCCATGCAGAACGTAGACACTCCCTCCCCTTCTTTCCTTCTAAGTCTTTGCAATTCTGTGTTCTTCGCGCATGCATGCACGCTATAAATTTCGGTTGCGCGATTAGATACCTCTCTAAAACAGTCGTTGGAAGCTCGGGGTAGCGCGATCAGTGAGGGTCGGCTCACGAGTGAAGTAAGAGGTGAGTGAAGTGGGAGTAGGGCGACCCGACGAGCTGGTGCCAAATGCGCGGGGTTGATGCGTGGGTCTACGATGGACTGTAGCGCGCGGGCGAACCTGACGGGCACACGAGGACTAAGCGGGGTGACAACTTCGTGGGTTGGTGCGTGACGACGGACTGTCCGCATCGAAGAGAGAGAGAGAGAGAGAGAGAGAGAGAGAGAGAGAGAGAGAGAGAGAGAGAGAGAGAGAGAGAGAGAGAGAGAGAGTTGAGGTGGATGGACGTGGAGTCGTAATTTTCTTTGTCTTTCTCAATCTTATACATAAGTTTTGATTTCGGCTTCGGGTGATCCGCCCTTATTTTTCGATTCGGCATCCCTCCTTGTTTTCGCCTTTGATTGGCGCTCTTTCTCGATTTTGATCTACTCCTTTTTGTATATGACGGATGGATGGGTTCTGCATAAGGGATGGTTGAATGATGTGGTTGTTGTTTCTCTTTTTGCTCATCTTAGCTCGTGATGAATGGGCCAATGGCTAATGGCAGGAGTTGATGTTGTTGCGATGACGAACGTATGATGCGATGTCACTTTGCATAAACGGGGATATTTGCTGACCATGGGATTACTGAATGATTAGATGATTGGGTGATTGTCTATGCCCCTTGGCGATTTTGCATGTAGGGCGGAAACCTCACTTTTGCACGAAAATCAGCCGTGTACGACCGAACACCTCGTGTGCGCACGTGTAAGCACGATCTGATCAGCGCGGCCACGTGTCCGCACGTGGGTGATTCACGATCACTGACGAACTTGGCACCTCCGGTATCAGAATACACGTGAAATTTTCCTTTTTGCAAGGATTTGGGCCAATAGGAATTTCCGCCACCCAACCGAAAATTCCCTTATCAATCGAAGCACGATCAGATACGTACACCAGAATGACAAGATGCCACACGTTGCGGACTGGGAGAGTTTGTGGGACCCAAAATACTTAGAACACTAGGAAGAAGAGTACCTTAGGCTGAGATATCCGGAATTCCCCTGTCTAATCGCGAACTGACTGTGCGCCCGGGACTTCCACCGTGCCGTAACCAGTGACCCGAGGGCTCCCGACTACCCAACTACGTATAACACGCAATATTTCATATCCCCCGGCTTCGTCGTTATGACCACCAATTTCCCTCCCTTCCGAGTCCTCCTACCATACCACCAGCTCACGGTGGTTCTGTGGAACTCCATAGCCCCGTGTTGGCCCCATCCGCCATACCGAAATTACAGACGGCGCGGCAACCGCTGAGCCTCTCGAAATACGGAGCCTAGCCATAACACGCGACGACACTCACCACGTGTCCCCACCCAGAGGTCCGACTCATAGAAATCGTCACCCTTACGGACAGGCTTCTCCCGAACCGCTGCCACTAAAACAAGTGGACCGGATGACCAAGGATGCACCGCGCATGCCTTATGTTGCACAACATCGACCGCCATAAGGGCGTCGTTAGACACTCCTCGAGCCGTCCTTGGAGTTCGAGGACGAATCCTCGGAATTTTTTACGTATTTTTGAGGTGTCGTTCCACCTGTCCTCGGAGAATCGCCCAGAGGACGAATCCTCGGGGCCCTCCCGCGGCCAGTTTCATGATATTATACACGGGCGTGAGGGTGTTGTCCGGCCTTCGATTCGGGATGTCCGTGTTGGAGGCGTGGTGGTCCAGCAGGCGGACGGCGGTACTACCTCATGCGGCGCGAAGAAGACAATCGCCAACGAGGGAACGGCCCCGTTTGAATTTCGAAATTCGAAATAAATTTTGCGCCTTGCGGAGCGACGGTGTGGCGGCACACACGCGGGTCGGTGAGGAGGGGGGGAAGTGTACGTCGCGAAGGGTTTCGGCTGCCATGGCATCGCGCACTTGAGTGGCACCGCACCGCCACCATCTCCAGGGTGTTCGACGCCGCGCCGCGCTTCGTCTGAAGCTTTCGGCAGTTGCGCTCGTGACACAGAGGGGTGTGGCGGTTCCGTACTTCAGCGGCGGTGGGCGGACGCTCCAATCCGGGTGGAACATCATTAAACACGGCTGCATTGCTCACCTGATTGCAAGCTCCTTCAATCGCGGTGGGAGAGGTGCGCGCAGGTGGGTGGCGAGGAAGGTTGCTTTTCCTGTCCGAAGAGCGGAATGGAGGGTTGTGATCGAGATGGTCGTGTTGTGCTGTCAAGTGCGGAGAAGACAGCTGTCGCGGCGGCTGCTGTCGCACTTGTCCGTCGATTCCAACTAGAGAGGGCGGCTGGGCGCATGAAAGTGACACTTTCCAGGCGGCGGCAGAGGCTTCTGCTGCAGAGGGTGTTGGACGCCCCGGACTGCGTTTCCAGTTCTGAGGCAGTGCTTCAACTATGCTTTGCAATCGGGTGCGGTGTGCTTCCTCGGTCGACGCCACGTTGGTGGATGAGGCGGAGAACCGGCGGGACTTGGGAGGATTTGCAGCTCTGCGATGACACGACGGACGACTACTTCTGGGAAAAGCTCCCAATGTCGAGGAGAGTTTTCATGGAGATCAGCGAGGCCTGTGCACCTCTCTTGCAACGACAGGTGACGTTCTACAGGGAGCCACTTCCGTCGGAGCAGATCGTCGCCTATGCGCTGCACAGGTGGGCTACAAGAGAGTCATACGACAACAACACCTCATCTTTCGGCATAGGCAGGGCTTCTGGAATACTGGCCGGCGCGATGTGACAAACGCTTTGTTGAGGGTCTATGGGGACAGGATATCGTGGCCGACGGGGGTGCGGAAACACGTCGTGCTGCGGGCGTTTCTGGACAAGGGCTTTCCAAACTGCCATGGCGCAGTTGACTGCACACGCATCTACGTGGACAAACCGATGAACGCGCCCGGAGAGAACTGCTTCGACTGCAAGCACCGTTTCTCCGTCATGGCGCAGGTGGTGGTGGACCTGGATCTGCGTGTGCTAGACATGTTCGTTGGATATCCGGGGAGCTGCCACGACATTAGGGTGATCCAACTGTCGAGTCTATCGAGGCGCGCAGAAGAGGGAGTGTTTTTTCGTGGCCCGCCTGTGACGCTGCCGGGGGGGGGGGTGAGGACGAACGGATACATCTTGGGCGACAACGGGTATCCTCCTTCTGAGTGGGTAGTGGTGCCGTACGAAGGAATCAATCAGCACCCGTACGAGGAAAGGTTCGACACGAAGCAGAAGGTCGCAAGAGGGGCTGTGGAGAGGGCGTTCGGGAGGTTGAAGAGGATGTGGAGGCTCTTCCTGCGGACACACAAGACAAACCTGGAAACACTACCGCAGCAGTTCACGACAGTCTGCATTCTCCACAATATCCTCCTTGATGCCGGTGTGGAGTTCGACGAGAATTTGTTGTGGGAGGTCGACGAGAACGGCGTGAGGCGCCGAGTGGACCTGGGGATTCATCGTCCCCTGCAGCTAGTGTCGATGTTGACGTCGACCGGTCCCGCCCTCGCGCTCCGCAACACGCTGGCGGAGCGAATGAAACACATGTGATCCTGTGCACCGCCAGCGTCTTGCACGCGCAGAATACTTCCTTCGAGTCATGTTCTGCCGTCTTCGATTAGTTAGGAGGGTTCGCCGTCTTTCGCTTATGTGCGCGACGAAGCGGATGGTTTTCCGTCGCGGATGGCATCTTTTTCGGTGTTCGTTGTTATGGTCGACGGTAGTGTGCTTGTCCAATTCGTCTACGGTTCCTAGTGACGTGGCTCTGCGGTCGTTCGACGTAATGTCGAGTGGTTCGGTTGCGCACTTGAGTGGCGCCGGTGTGCTCCCACGGCTGTCCGTGAATCCCGGGACGGGGGGGGGGGGGGGGGGGGGGGGGGGGGGGGGGGGGGGGGGGGGGGGGGGGGTGGATGTCAGCTCCTCGGCAAGCTTATGAGTATGTGGTTTACAGTGCTGCTTTGTTTGAAATTGAACGATGTTGTCGAATCCTGTACTTTTTGTGATTGCTGTGTGATGCTGTCTTCGTGCATTCCGCTTCTTCCTTTCGTTCGGCGACCGACTTCTTTCTCAACTACATTCAAAATGTCCGTCATTCACAGATTGTCTGCATTTTTGTGCAATTGCTCAGGGTCATCGGTGATGCATGAATGCGGCAGTGAAGATTCATGTACATTGAGAAACAAGCATTTCAATTTTGTTCTTTTAGCAAATGAGCGGTGACAGTGCGTGGCTAGCTTCATTTCTCTTGTCCTGTTTTTTTGTCGTTCCCGTTTTCGCAGGTGTCGGCGATGATAACGATGCAGAGATTTCATACATCCAACAAAGGGTCGCTTACAGTAGCAAAAGATGTGAAGGACACGACGATCGCTATTAACACATTCCATACATGAGAGATCCACACGGAAGAGAACAAAATCAACTTTGAGCGACGAATCACGGACATGCGAGTACACACACACACACAAAATAAGACTTCAATGACATACATTCCTTCCAAGTACAATATTGACACGGAATTCGAAAAAAGGAGTCCAACTGTCCACCCTCGAAGCGCACCACACCAACTACGGACTCCACCTGCCTTCTATTTCATTGCTGACGTGTCGTGGACTGGCCTAATAGACAAGGCTTTGGAGCAGATCTACGAACTCTGCTCCAATGAAAAACTAATCACAATGGGGAAAAACAAAACTAGCAGGTGGATTGCTGACACAATAAAGCTCCACCTGCCTTGTACTGTTACAATACGGTAAAACAACACGTGCACGAAGATAATGACTGTCGACGTCGCGACACCACCGAACCGCGCGCTCCAACCACGACCATTGACGACAACACGTGCAGCGAGATGGAGGGGTTCTACCCATCCGTCATGATGGATTGCTGCACAGGAACGATGACCGGCCACCTCACCTTCCCCCCCGCCACATCATCACCCACCACCCACCCCCATCGCGCCGCGGCCTTGCGGATGAACCACGTGTCACTTCTCGTCACCGCCATCGTCATCCGCCGGCGGCCCGCTGCCGATCCACCCGTGTTTTGCTACTTCGGATGCATTCTTGAGGGCCGCGTTGTGACCAAAAAACAACCCGCAATCGGCCCATTCCGGGATGCAATGCGGGTAATCTCCCAGCGTGAGGTGGGCCTTCCCCAGATGATCCAAGACGAGGTTGGCGGTGTCAACGATGTACCGCCACCTGTTGAAGATGTAGGAGCCCGCCGCTATGAGTGTTGGTTTGGCGACCATGGATGCGTAGAATGATGCCTCGTAGTGCGAACGGTCGTCGTCACCGCCCATCCGCATGATCCACATGCACGCGCTCAACAGAACTTGAAGACAATCAGCAAGGCGCGTCAACCTATCCTGTTTCACACGGCCACCGTCCGCCCATTGCCCGCACCAAACTGCATCTGTCCAGCAGTCCGCCAGGCGAAGAACTGTTGTCTCCTGCCGCGCCGCCATGTCGTCGTCTTCGGGCCTATCCATGATCTTCACTCCAGCAAACCACATAGGCACGTCCATCTTCATCGCCAGCGTGTGGTAGACGAGGGCAGGGGAGACGACTTTCGACCATTCTAAAGATTGCCAGACTGCTCGCGCGACATCTGTTGTGAAGTCCACTGTCACGTACGATTCTGCACAAGTGAAGCCAGACGACCTCGACGACGATTTGAAGATCCAGCCGTGGATGGTGCGCAGCACCACTTTCTCCACGTTGCGCGCTCTGCGCAGAGCCGCTTCACGCTGCGCAGGGTCGTCGATCTTGAAGCGCGACACATCATTCGGCGGCATTAGCAGCATCGAAGGCAGTTCCGCTCCTGCATCTTCGTTAGCGATGGCGATGAAGTAGTCTGTGCAATCGCCTACGGCCTCCCTCAATGGCTTCCCCGGTCCCTGACCCCAGAATGCGTCGCAGTCGATCCACAACTTCGACCTCTCTTTGAGATCATCCTATTTAACCCTTCTCTTCACCATCGCTGAAACCGGACGGTCGTTGTCATCATCGCCCCCCCCCTGGCATCATTTCTCCCATCATCACGGCGGACGTCATCGACCCTCCCCTCTTCCGCAGCTTCCGCGACTCCGCTCCCGATGGTGTTATCCACCGCCGCCGTCCGACTACCGCCCGCCGTCGTGTTAACCTTTTGCGCGGACGGTGTTTTTTCCACCCCTGAAGCCCCCGCCTGTTGCGCGGGGAGTGGCTGACGTGGCTGCCCGTGCCCGACCATTGGCGGAACTTGTCTCGCCACGCGCGCGTCCGTCATGACAATCCCTGCCGCCTTCGGGGTTCGTGCCAACGTGACGGCGACACCACCAGCCAAGCCTTGCTTCAGAGCGGCCAGCTGCTCCCTCAGCACCCCGTCCCGCCCAAACCCCAATCGCCTCACGACGTCCGCCCCTTGTGCATCCACCATCGACACTTCCTCGGCCTGAAAGTCGGCAGTATCTTCGGAGTTGTCGTCATCGAAGCGCTGCCTTTTCGACTTCGGCACGTACCCTCTGCCTTTTTGGCTTTCCCCGCCATCGCCTGATCCGCTGTTTCTCTTCAACTTCCCTGAAGCGCCGCGCGGTGCCATGTCGTCCACAACTCAACAAATAAGAAGTGCGTGCCGATTGCAAACAACTGCGGCGCTTGGCTGACGTGGACGAAGGACCACGTGGATGACACGAACGAAGGAGCGGTGGGAGCTCGATGACGGGCACCTTGCCGACGGACGACGTTGATGATGCGGCGCTTCGCTGCTGTGGACGAAGGAGCACTCCGATGACGCGGTGCTTGGCTGACATGGATGCAGGAGGACGTGGATGTCCGCGGAGCCCAAACCCGCCGATTGTAGCGTCGAAGCGGATGACTAGGCGGGTGACGACGAGACCATGCACAGACGGTGCCTTTGGAGCCTTCGCGATAGAATGGCAGCGGTACGGAATGCCTCCCGAAATCCCCTTTTGTACGCTGCGCGGTCTCGCAGCACACCATGGACAGGCCTAGCCGTCCACTACAGCCCGCCCATTCGTCGATTCCCAACAGACGAATTTTCTCGTGGCATGGAGGTCATCCTCCGCATGATGAACAAGGCACGAGGGCGCGCAGGAGCTCCCTGCAGGAGGTACAAAGACCTCGCCCCCCATCCGTCCTCTCCCACCCCCAAAAAGGCCTGGCACTCCAATCCGCCATTTCCCCCTCACGCCCGAAAAAACACACCCTGCCGCCTACACATCCGCGGACACCCCCAAAGAAAACCCTGCAAGATCGCCATCCATGCGTGGAGACAACAACTCACAACAGCAGTCTTTAAACATTATCTAAAAACGGAGGACCTGTTGTACAACCTCAGGACGCGCCGTGGGGCATGAAAGCAAACAACGTTCTTCACAGTCATTAATAAAACGCGCGCTTAATACTATGCGCGAGCAACGACGACTCGCCGACTGTACACAACCTACACATCAACGTACTGCAGCACGGAGGATGATGGAAACGGCGACGTGCCGGAAGTGCACACGGGCCATGCCTTTGGACGTTCGACATGCCTGGTCGGCCCACGTCAGGCTCGTTCGCGGATCGCTTCAGCAATCTCCATGAGGGCGTTGCACATCATGAAGTTCGCCTGGTCAGCCTTCTCGTAGTGCTCCTTCTGCACTTGTATCTCTCTCTCCAGAATGTCGCATTGCCTCGTCAGAATTAAGCACTGCCTCTTGCTCGCGGTGTCCACCGTCGTCGTCATCAGCGCCCCGTGCTCCTTCATGACGTCCGCCATCGCCTCGAAGGTCTGATGTCTGACATTCTTTCGTTTGCTGGCCCCGCCACCGCCACCGCCGGACAACGACGAATCCCTCGTCGATCCGTGATCGTCGTCCTGACCATCCCCCCCTCCGTCACTACCGCCGGATTCGTTTCCCCCGCCAAGCGGGCCAGGCATTTGAACACCTCCCGGCGCACCCGTGTTCCCGAGATTCATGGGGTGTATAGTGTGATCGCTCCTCGACATCGCCTTCATCTCCGAATACACGCGCTCATCCATCCTAAAGTTGAACCACCTCTCCCTCCTCTCCCCCGGCGTCAGTGTGAAGAAGTTAGGCTTCCCGGATTCTCCCATGAACTTGTGCACGGATTTGAACTGCTGGTACAGGTTGTCCCATTTCTTTCCGCAGTCGACGACCTTCCTACTCGTCACCCCCATCTGCACGAGCCTGTTCTCCACGTCGTCCCACTTCCATGTCTTCGTCTTCATCCGTCCGTAGTTGTGCCCCATGCCGGCCAGATGCAAATCCTGGTCACTTTTGGCTCTGATAAGAGCGATCATATGCTCCACTGTCCAAAAATCCCTGCTTTTTGTTCCGTCGCTTGCCGAGGCTGCCGACAATTCTTCGACGCACTTCTTGCCTTTCCGCCCCGTGCGCGATTCTCTAACCTTGGTTGTCGCCCTCGACCCTCCGCGCTTCCTCCCTACTGGACGAATCTCCATCTCGCCGTCGTTGTCTTCGTCGTTGTCATCACCGCCGTCGTCTGCAGTGATCTCCTCGCCCCCTCCACCATCGCAAACCACAAATACGTCTTCGGCCCCCACACTGATTCTCGCCACCCCTCTCGTTATAATGGACGTGTTCGCGGAACGCAATCGTCGTCGTTCATCATCCCAAAATTGACGACCGACGACCTTTGTAGCGGCGTGCTCGTCGTCGTCCCCTTCTCCGTCTATTCTACCGCCTGGCGTCGTCGTTCGGCACCCTGCCAATCCAGCTGTCTTCGTCCTCGACGCGGCCACACTTGTTGTACTCAAAGCCACCTGCCTCGGCGAAACGAATCCACGGCTATCCGTAGGGCCAACCGCCCTCACGGAAGGCGATGTGTGTTTGGTGGCAGAAGTCGGGTTCACGACAATGGTGTGCGTCAGGTCCTCGCCACTCCCAGACCTCAAACCGAAGCTCAGATCGACGAGTCCAGCGTCGTAACCAGCGGGGGTCCGGCCCTCCAGCAAATCTCTGTACGTCGGCGTCGATGCGTGTCTGTATAGTTGGCTCCCCATCCAATCCTGCGTCGAACCTCTGCCCAGAGGAACCGTTGAGGATCTTCCCTCGTCGACGTCGTCGTCACTCGGAGGCAATGGAATCTCGTGGGACGGCAGGTGGCTGTACAACGTCGGGTCGTACGGCCGCCTACCGTCTTCCGCACTGTTGCAACGCTGATGCGAGGACCCCCCACCTTCCACCGACATCGTCGTCTTCGTCTGAAGCTTATCCATCTTCCTCGACTTCTTCGGCGTTCGACGCGTCTGTTTCCTTCCAGGAACGCGACCGAGGAAACAAATGTGGAAGACGACAACGATGAGCAGCAGAAGAGCGACGAGCAGCAGCAAAGGTAGCCTGTGGTACAGGTCTGCCATCAACGATAGGTCAGCAGACACAGAAGCATTGTCGCATTCGCAGCGAGCAGAGACACACTGTGCGAGAGGGAAGACGTCGACGAACCAAATTCATGCAAGCAGCGACAGGGGGAGGACGCTTACAAAATCCGTAATTCCGACCGTTGGGAAGCCCGCGGGAACGCCACGAAGCCTCCGGGCGTCGGCCGAAGACGTCCGATGATCGCCATGGCCCCTCCGTGGGGCCGCCCGAAGGACCTACAGGGCCGTCCCGCGATTCAGCGCCAACGGTAAAACGAGGAGGCCGTTGCTGGAGGTTTTCGACGACGACGACCGGGGATGTCCGTCTTCTGGCCACTCGACCACCACTGGACCACCTTCGGCCTCCAATTTCCGTTCTGGAGTAGCCGCCGACACCCCGTTAATCGCGGATCCTCGGGCTCCGGAGGACCTCGCGAGGTCCTTCGAGTTCGAGGACAATTTGGCTGGGAAATCCTCGGAGCCCGAGGATTTGTCCTCGGAGTGTTTTCACATTTTCATTTCCGATTTCATCTCCGAGGACAGGTGGAACAACGACGGAATCCTTGGAATCGCATCCCTGAGGAGTGTCTAACGACGCCCTAAGACCGAAAGTAACCCGTCCCGTAGCCTTATTGCACCTATGCCCCTGAGCCCCCGCCACAGGAGATCTCAGTTCTGACCTGGGACTCCACCCCCACTTTCCCAAAAATCCTTGACACACCCCTTTTCGCACTTCCAGGCCCACATCCCACTCTGATCAGGAAGTCGCTCTGGGCGTGAGGTTGGGGCGTCACAGGGGCAAGGCGGAGGAAAGTGGGGCAAGGTGGGGGATTGAAGGCAGCGGAAGGTAGGGGAATGCGGAGGAAGGAAGGCGGGGCAAGGTGGAGGAAGGTGGGCCAAGGTGTGGGAGGGAAGGCAGGGGGGGGGGCGGGAAGGCGGGGAAAGGAGGTGGCCGCTTTTTTTTTTTTTTTTAGTGGCCCGGTGGGCCACGGACCAGATATTAAACTGATCAGAACAGATACTACACTTGATTTTAGCCAAAAGGCCGAGAAAGGTGAAGGCGAGGGGGGGGGAAGGCGGGGGAAGGTGCGGGAGGGAAGGCGGGGCAAGGTGGGGGATTGAAGGCGATACTTGTAAAATGCCATAAGCTTGATTTTGTTTGTGTACTTGTCCAACAACTCCCCGAAAAATATTTTTTCTTCTATCAAACAGACCGTTAGCCTTAAGGTATTCCCTAAATCAGTTTTGCTGTTTATCTTCTTGACTCCATTTTGTTATGATTTCCAAAATACTAGTTTCCTCAAAAAACTTGGTGATTGGAAATGGAACATGGGTTCCAGAATGAAAAAAATATAGTTTTTTGAAAATTAATCTTGTAGTTTTTGACTCAGTCCAGTTTTCACGAAATGTCTACTTTTCACGAATCTCGTTTAAGGTCGACAGTGCTCCATCCGGGAGTAAGTGAACAATCTGCCCCAGCGTCCTTTGCTTATAAGGTCGAAACCCTACCACCCAGTCCCCTTCCCTAAAACTGATGCCTTTTCGAAAAGTTCGTACCCATGCAAAGGGGATAGAGAAAATGATCTACTCCAGGCGATCAGACAGCTGATGCACATATCTTAGTGTGCCCTTCACTCGGTCTACTGATTTGCAGTCCCTTGTTGTTGTGTCCCATATATCCTTAATATGCACTACCCCTTCTTCACCCACAGGGACCCGGGGGGGGACATAACTATTGAAAATGCAACCATTAGTATCGGTAATCCAACAATTTTCAGAAAGGGGCTGACGCAATACCTCCTCATAGCAAGAGGGGAAAGGTTGTTTGGTAACGGTAGGTGTCGCCAATTTCTCAGAAAAGACGTCCATAAATTGTCCAAGACTATATCATTTATTGCATCGCCTCTTACCTCCTCCTCCCTGGACTGTGTCTGCACCCTAGGGGTACCCCAATTTCAATCCTCAATCCAAGTGAGAGGGTGTCTGTCCTCGGTGGATGGAGGGGCCAGCCTTCTGATTTGTTCTAGGGGTAGCACCTGCCACGGCGGTCTACCTGTTGAGAGGATTAGGTTCTTAATCCATTGCAGTGACAGGGCTCTACACTGAAGTGTTGGATCTAGTACCCCCAAGCCCCCTTGAGTCTTTGGCTGGATGAGTGAGAGCCAGGCGACTCTTGGGATAACCTTCTTTTGTTGATGGTTGCCACTCCAAAGGAATGGGTGTCCTGATCTTTATTAGTTGTTGGTGTGCATTCTCTCCTTCGAGGAAGCCAGCGATTTTTACAGACTGCGTGAGTCTTGTCTCGACCAGTTTTCAGCCATCGGATCTATTTCTTTCTGTCTCTATCATCGGTTACGCCATGCGGTACCTGCTTTGAATTGTACCCTATGTGCAATCAGCATTCCGTTCATACCTGCAATTCCTCCTCTCCATGCTGTGCCAACTTTATGATGTCTTGTATTTCAGAATTCAATATTCTCAGTTGCGACAGTGGGGCCCAAGACTCTGGGCCAAGCTAAGGAACTGTGAAAGTGCTAGATGAGCGCCTTCCCCCGAACATAACGCACCCTGATAATCAATGTATAGAAGCCACGTTTCTGGTCTGGTACAGCCATAATGAGGGGGGAAGACAGTAGCATGAACCTCCCAACGTAGATGTCAGGCTCATGCTTATCTCGCACATATATAACCCAGTTTGCCCCAGTGTTGCTGTAGTCTTTATGCTTAGTAAGTATAATGGTCCGGCAGCCAAAATCCATGTACCCAGTCTACAAAATGTGTGATGCCTGTTATGACTTGACCAAAAGCAGAAAAGGGAGTGGTACCCCAAGGAGCTGTTTGCCCCAGTGCTGCTGTGGTCTTTATGCTGAGCAAGGTACAATTGCCCAGCAGCCAAAATCCATGTAAAAAGCAACTGGCCTAGCTCAGTTGGCACACCCCTAAACTGTTGAAATACAAACCTGAGTTCGAACCCCAATTGAATCAAATAAGTGAATGAGTGAATTCTGAATTAGCTAGGGTCAGTCAGTTCGATGACGACATCCCGAGGCCATCGCCCTGTTTTTTTTTTGTTTTTTTTTAATCCGTGTAAACCCCGGTAACTCCACCAAAAGGAAAAAAGGGAGGGTTAACCCAAGGGACCGTAAAGAAACTATGGGGCATCCCCTGTTTCACATGAGGGGAGAGAAGGGGTGATAGGAGGTTGGGGCCAGGAGACAGAGGGGGAAGGGGCCAAGCTGAAAATAGTGAATAAATATAAGAAATGAAGTCGGCTGTTGACAGTGGACCGCTGGTCATCATCCATGTTTGTCACTGAACTCAACAGGAGGAAAATGGCCACGAGGTCATTTATACCACCAGTAGGTTTCCCAGCCATTTCTCTGTGATGTGGCATGGCACGTGCTTGTCCTTCGGGGCTGAGCCTCCCAAAGCACTTTGCCTGATGACGCCAGCCAAAAAAAAAAAAAAAAAAAGCGCCGTGCTGTTTCTGTTTTTTTTTTGGCACGTAGCACAACTGCTACAGGAAAAAGAAGCTCGGAAGTACATTGAGAGGAATGCAACCACTGTGTCACGCCAATCAGCGAAGTTAAAAAAGATAAAGAAGGCGAGGTTGAAAGCATAGCCATAGGAGGGAGAAAGACAGGGAGGGAGGTGAGATGCAGATAGAAAGAGAGACTACACAAATGCAAAAGGAGATAGATGGATGTACTACGCGCAAAAAATGGCATTCAAATATGAATACATCGATCAAAGATCCGTGAGCGCTATTCTGGTGAAGTCCCAACCTTTCATTCGCTCACCAGTAGCGAAATCATCAGGGGACGAAAAAGTACATACTCAACTAGATCTATCCAATCTCTTAAATAGACGACGCACAAAGTTCACACACAGCTCACCCTTCTATGGCTTTGTAGAGAGAAGTAAGAACATGGAGACAACGGGATTACCTGCAAAAAGAGCAAAGGAAGGTGCGAATGGATCCGTTATGGGCCTTTGAAACTATCCACGCTTATCGATTGGTCTGCAGAACTCGACTTGTCAAGGCTACCCAGCTGATTACTCGGGTATGGTTCAGAAAGCTTCCGAAGATAGCAACAATGTGCAGATGATGCAAATGTCGACTTCTGTTGAAGAGAGCGATAAACTGGGGAAGAATCAGGGAGAAAAGAAAGGAGGAGGTGAAGGAGAAGGGGAGATAAGTCCTTGTGACTGCAATGTCATACGGAGTAGGCATTCGGAGTCATGTTGGAGTGCAGTGGATCCGTGCTCAGATTGACCTTGTGGATGATCCTCACTGTCGTAGAATCTGATGCTCCTTTAATGCCCCGTTTTCAGCAGTCCTTCGCAGTTGATGCCAATCTCTCAAAACCCACGAAGTCACACATGTCATGAGAAGAGTCGACCAAAGAAGATCCATAAGCAGACAAACAACAAACATGCGTCGAAAGAATTAATGATCTGCAATGGATGGCGTGGGTCCTTGGTCTGAGAGACTATGACTCTTTCCATATTTCGCAAAACCTGTACTGGTGCGAGGGGAGAACAGACGCATAGAGCCATCTCAACCGTTTTCATCAGAGTTTTGACGAGGAAATTAATGGAGAGAAGGCGGGAAAGGAACGAAAAAATGAAAAAACAAAAAATCCATTGTTGAGCGCAATCCCTGCCGAGCTACCAATCCACTATACGAAAGTTTTTACATACAATCGCAGAGGGCATTTTCTCCTGCGCTGTAGCATAGGGAGTACGCGCAGCCACGCTTGATCGAACCCGCACGCGAACATTCGCTTGGGGCGCTGATCTTTCAAGCACAGCCCTATGCCGGTCGACTAAGATATTGCAACCACCACGCCTTTCACTCTTTCACAAACATAATCTTCAAGAATAATTCTTTATGCCTAGTCCCTTCACAGACATCCCAACCCATAACTTGGAGTGTGCACGAACATCAGGGTGTCGTCCATGCAAAAATTCATAATACGAACGCTCGGGCGAAGGAGGTCACAACATTCAACCATGCATACTCACACATTCGACCGTCATGGTGACGCTTTACGCGTTACCCACAATCGCGGGACCTTTCGTGGGTTTCAGGGTTGCGCACGACACTTAAGTGTCGAACACAAAGTGTC